GAGGATTCGATTTGCAGATCTCCAATGATGCGAAATATTTTTACGCTTCATTTCTCTGCACGCTGCTCATGTAAACTTACCGACGTCACATCCGTTACAGAAATACGTCATCAAGTCTTGGTGGACCCCGGCTCAAAGAATTTCTTGTTAAAAAATGTCATCGTGCCCTCTGTGTCTAAAGTGCGAACAAGCGTACTTCTCGCCTCTGCTAAATTGAGCTAACAACTTGTGACACCAGATTTTTAAAGCAGTAGCGGAGCCATTAGGTACTCCAGCTGTTACTGCTGTTAGAAAGGGTACCATAATTGCGTCACCTGTCATCCTCACAGGACATTAGCTACAGAACGTTTGATCCATGAACCCCTGAAATTGGTTTACGCTCGCAGAGATATATTTAAGGCTACAGTGAATAAATATAGAGTTGAAGGTACCCGCAGATTGTTGATGCTCTGACCTTCACTAACATCACTGACCCGTAGGTGACTTGTTTGCTTGTGCAGTTTCTGCGACGTTATACAATAATTAACATAAGAGCATGGTCCGCCGGTAGTATGCGGAGTGGTAAAGCTTTTTTCGGAAGTTTCTATTCCGGGAGGTGCTTGTCAGATCAGCTGCACGAATGCGTATATACTTGGCGGTGACTTTGAGCATGAGCTCCTTATTTTGTTAGAACTATCCTTGGAACGCATTTCACAGTATGAAAGCATTGTACAAGCATGTTCTTATGAACTAGTGGAACTATCTGGCATTGTCTACAGCTACTCGTTTCACTAATTTACGGATTGCCGCTGTGGTAACGCCGTGCCAGGTGACCAGCTCAACCGCGTGCAGAAAGAACCAACCACCTAATAATAAATGATTTATAATTGTTTATTCTCCAATAGGCCAATTCTGTTATTACCAGCAACCTCGACGCTGTGCAGGAGTATCTGGCCACTTGCGGACGCTTACGTCACTAACGTCAGTGTGCCCCGCCACGGTGGTCTAGTGGCTAATGTACTCGGCTCTGACCCGCAAGTCGCGGCATCAAATCCTGGCCGTGGCGGCTGCATTTCCGATAGAGGCAGAATTGTAGGCCCGTGTACTCAGATTTAGGTGCACGTTAAAAAACCCCAGCTTGTCGAAATTTCCGGAGCCCTCCTCTCCAGTGTCTCTCATAATCATTTGGTGGTTTTGGTACGTTCAACCCGACGGGATACTTTATCATGTTCCTAGTAAGATGGCCGCCGCAGCCACCATCTTGCCAGAGCCATGTCTTCACTCCTAGGCAATGATCTCCACTTCAGCAAGTATTTTAAATCCTCCTTGACTGCACCCGACCATGATCTCATGTGTTGCCACGTGCTGGTGTTCGTGATCACCGATATATTCAAGCTGGACGTCGGTGGTTCCTGTGGGTGTCTAAAGAATGGCATATTTTTCCTTGATAGATTGTGCCTTCAGTCTACCTTTACCTTATCTGGAATCTGTACTTCTGCTTCAATGTGTCTGTCTTGATGTGTGGTGATATAATTGATGAATGCTCGTAGCTCACATTTAAGTCATGAGGTGCCCGTGAAATAGAAAGTCTTGCTTTGCATGAACTTCAGTGGTATACTTTCGACACCTGCCTTAAACGGTAGATGTTGGGATTCTGTCGCCGAGGGTTCTAACACAATCTTCTTGTTGGCGTTGTCCATTATTCCTCCTTCGATTAGTCTGCACTTCATTTGGTGTGAAAGAGGTCTGCAGTGAGTGACGACTTGGTGGTGATTTGTACACCTTCAATGCTGTCAATGCTATGAATGAATACTTTTTTTTGCCTAAGATAACTTCGGCATTCGTGCTGCAAGAACCAAACTATACAGCAGGATCAATTTTACTACCGCTTATTAATAAAGAAGAGGAGCTTTCAATAAACATTCGAAGAACGCCATATTCACGAAGTTAATAATATGAGGCAGCTTGCTCCAGTGAATAAATCCAGTAAACCGTGGATCTCCCATACATTCACTTCATCATCATACAAAGACGTAACACAAGAAATGTGATGTGATTGTATATACATAATATATACACAATGCTTTATTATTTACATGATTATGCAGTATATGAACAATATATACATTGAGGCAATTATTTACGTATGATTTACAGAACACAACGGTTCCCCTCATTGTTAGCGTTCATATTACCTGAAGCACAGGGTAACGTAACTCTTTTGGTATAACGGCATTGTGGTCTGCACGCCGCTGACGTCTCTCTTCGGCCACGTGGACTCTCGGCTCGTCCTCAGCGTCAGCTTGTCGACTAGTCCGTGCTGCTTGGGCTGCGCCAGCCCGAACCGTGGTCACTGCCTCGGTGCTGGTGCTGGATTGTGTTTGCTGCCGGCACTGGAGTCACGTTGCAGTATCTTGACGCCGAGCCCATGCTGGAGCCGCATTGCGGACCCTCCGCGATGCTGCCTTGGCTTCTTCGGTTTTCAGTGTAAGCTGCAGCATCAAAGCGGGCTCAGTAATGTCCGGCAAAAGCGAAAGGAAGTGCGCTAAGAGCGAGGTCTCTATGTAGGGCACCAATTCAGCGGTCTCCTATCAAAATTAAAAAAAAAACAGCAACGTGTCCATCTCAGTTTGAATTTAATATGGCTAACATTCTCTTTTTGGGAGCTTTCTCATTAGATCGTTGTCACCGGGATCACTGTCCGGCGGTACGAAAAGTCTTAGTTGACTCTAGGTGGCTTTGATAAAAAATCTCTAAATTAGAAAGGTACAATTTCTTTTAATTTAAATATAATAAATGTACAAGTCTAATGTGAAAACTGCTATCTAAATAGTTGTCTTTTGACTTATTCCCCAGAGTGAGTGTGAGCCCTATACGTAGACCATATTCATCGTCATCGTCATTGACATCATTATCCTCATCATCATCATATTCTTCGTATAGCCTTGGCAGCCATAGTGTGCAGTTGCCGGAATTTTGTAACACAAAAGTGTCTAACGCCGAGGTCCACCACGGCTCCGCTGACGTATTTCCGTCACGAATATGACGTTGTAAAATACACTCCAAAAGATTGCGAACAAAAAAAAAGGCGTCGAACCAGAGACTTCTTCGGTCACAGCGCGCAGTGTAACCACTATTCCCCGGTGCGTATGTCATCAAGAGTGCTTCCGGCAAGTAATTTATGTACACCATATATTGTTTTGAGGTTCTCAGTGCTTAGTACCTTCTGCGCCGCTTTGTCATCAGTAATCTCATATAGCGAAGGTCTCGCGTTGTGAGCGCTTTCAAGGTCGTCACCTCTAGCGCTTCAATCAGTGCCGGCTCCAGAGAGCTTCGTCTATCGTGCGCACGCGCTCATCAAACTCCTGATTTGGGAGAACACATATATCACTTCACCGGCTGGCGTGGCCACGTATACGAAAGGACAAAAGGGATACGCTGCTCACCCACAAAAGAGTAGAAATTCTGGCAATTGCTCGAGCTTGTCCTGTAAATACTCGGGCGTTCATTTGGTGAGTCTTCTTTTCTGTTTGTATAGCACTCTTTAAGTGTCGTGCTTTGACATTCGCTAGTCCGCGAACCTTTTCTGTATGCTCATAGACGCTCCACGAGCATTGAATGGGGAACGAAGTCGTTTTGAGAGAACGGCGCAACTACCAATTTGTACAGATCCTAATTCAATGGCGCTCGGCGAGAATGCGCGACAGCAACAGTCAAGATGGAGCAACAACTCACAATACAAGTGAGGTTATTTTGAAAAGGAGCCGAAAAAGGTCGACGCACAAAATGGTGCTGGAGAGGACAACCCACTATAGAGTTCTAAGATTGCGCAACTTTACTAAGGGGACACGGGATGACAATCTCTGTAGTTCAAAAAAGAAAAAGAATAGTATCCCGAAGGTGACTTTCTCTTAAAGAAGGTGGCAAGTTGCCTTTTCGTCCACTTCGTGCACACCTATAAGACAATTACTATATTAGAGTTAAGACACTACAATGAACAACCCCTCGATCTTCCTTGACTTCGTTACCTGCTGGTTTACGTTACGATTCTGTCAAACAAAGGAGAAGCAGGCCCTCAAAATGCCTAGTATTCGATCATTAAAAAAATACCATCTAGCCAATACTTTCAAAAAATCACAGCATATTGATAGAGTAAATGACGATGAGTGAAGCGAAGCATATGTCAGCTTATCCATGCTTCCGTCCGTCCACGCGACCATCCATGCGTCTATTCATGCGTACGTCCGTCTGTCCGTGCGTCCGTACGTCCTAGCGTCCATCCATCTGTCCGTCCGTCTTCTAGTCTGTCTGTCCTTCCGTCCATGCGCCAATCAGTGCGTCAATCTAGTGAACACTCCAAATACCACTATATCCCGTCTCGCATCCCCTCTGGCACATACCGCTCTAGAGGAAGTATGTGCCACCGGTGGCTACGTACACCAATGAAGGAAGGACAGACCAACACCCTAAGGAGTTTCGCCCCTAAAAATGTTAGTAGAATGCTCCAGGTTCCAGCCTTGGCCACGACTGCAAGCTGCGTTTCTCTGTCATTTGCATTTGACATGCCACATACAGGCACCACTGAACTTTTGATATTAACGCTCTGGCTGTGGCACCTTGGAACTGATGACATCGGGGCATTTAAGCAATACCAAAAGGCTAGAAACCTGTAGAGGCAAATGTTTTCCATTTAGGTCTTCCCTGATATGAATTTTAACAGTTCATTCATTCGGAAAGCAAATGTGGTGATATGTCACGTTAAACAGAGGGAACAGTACTCTGTGTGTTTGTTTCTTCACTAACGTCACACTCGAACTTTATATACGACATTCTGTGGAGAAATATATTTTGATAAACTATGGAGTAGCAAAATGCCATCGGCGTGAAAGTGAAGCAAGCCTACTGCGCCTACAAATAGCATTATTCGGTGCTTTCACACTAAGAAATTGCAGTTTTTGAAAGCAAAGCAACATAACTGTCTCTTGTGCTAGTGCTACAGAGAGAAAACCCGACGAAAATGCCGTCATTTGCGCTATTGTACATGTTCTATGTCTTGTTCATGCTAGCACGCTGTCATAACGGTGACTGTGAGTATCATTACGATAGTTTATGACAAAGATGAAGCAACCTGCCCCTGATAAGTGGGATAACGAGTCAGTTTCTGTATAGAATGCGTTTGATATTGAATTGCTATAATGTATCTACTAAACATAGTCGATATACATTCATATGCTGTGACCAGCCCGCTTTTGCTGCAGAGCTCAAAACTACAAAATTATTTCTTGTTTCTGATCTTCCTGAGACCAGGAAATGGGACATTTGTCCAATATATTAGACATTGTAACAAAGCAAACTATAGCTTTGGAAGCACTTTCTGGCACCTAGAAAGCATTTTCTTGGCTGCTTGTGGGAGCCGAGCTGCCATGTAGTGAGTATAGTGAAAGTCAATGTATTTCCCGCCGTTCATGAGCACTTCAACCGGCGACATCTAGCACGAATGACTTTTACGGCTGCTGCCTGAAAAGAAAATGAATTATTTTTATTACTGAATATTTTAACGTGTATACAAGCATCAATTTGTGGTCATAATAGGTTTAATCACAAAAAAATTGTATATGAGTGAACATGTGGTAGTTTTAATTTTTTGCATGCGTTGAGTATTTCACAATGCCTAATGTGATAGACAATGGATCTCACTGACAACAGAAGCAGGACAGTATGCTAATTCCATCTCTTGGCGCTTTACAGAGACTATTACGTTTTAAATGCGAAGAATTCCTTTAGCGAACTTGAGTGACTTCCAGCGTATCTATCTATCTATCTATCTATCTATCTATCTATCTATCTATCTATCTATCTATCTATCTATCTATCTATCTATCTATCTATCTATCTATCTATCTATCTATCTATCTATCTATCTATCTATCTATCTATCTATCTATCTATCTATCTATCTATCTATCTATCTATCTATCTATCTATCTATCTATCTATCTATCTATCTATCTAATGTATCTATCCGCATACGTTTGGGTGCTCTCGTGGTCACCCCATTAACTTGAAGAGAGCTAAAATTAGCGTGGGAGGGTAAAATGGTTTGACGAATATGACGCGCTAGACAAAACATGAATAATGTCACAACCCTGTCGCGTACGTCGTCAAGCACTTCTCGCCAGATAGTGCGACATACCCACGGGCGGGTATATGCTGCTGGTATGCGGGTATGAACCACAGCTGATTGACACTTAGTATCTACCCAGGAACGACGAGAAAACACATGGACAATTTTAACGCGGGGGCATTACGAAATACTCGACATCAGTAGCGTCGACCAGACGAATTCAAAAAATTAATGTCAGGGTACCAGCTGGAATCAAGCTCAAGCATTTTGCGTGGCAATGAAGCATGTTACCACAGAACTACGCCAGCTCTCGAAACTACTTTTCAAATTGACGCTAATTTTCGTGAACCGTAACTAGTGCTTGCAGTGCTGCCTACCCTACTTTAAAACATTACTTATGTACTCCTTTGACATAGCCTTTACGTCGGGTTAACGTCAATTGTGGTTTAATTGTCATGCGCTGACGTAGATTTATGTAGCGGTGCCCAAGGCCAGCATCCTCGCGAGCATAAGCGCTTCATATCAGCTTGTGGTGTTCCGTATACGCATTTTCCAGTTGGCTTGCGGAAGTGCAAACGAATGGTTATATAAACATCTGCAACTCTTCAACATATGTATGTGCATGCAACATTTGTACATATAGTGAGCGTCATTTCATGATGTGTCACTCAAATAAAAAAACAATGCAACACGGTCGCCTTCCCTCCGCATGCTTCGCATAATGTCAATTCCCAGGTGCATGGGATGTGCTGAATTTCCCCGCTCTAGTTTTGTCGTTGAAAATTTTGAACTTCACATATTTTAAAGTGGTGGAGTTAAAGGGCTTGTTACACAAAATTGCTGAGCTTGGTTTCGGTGTCGGTAGTATTGTCAATGTTTGCATGGACGTCGTTGGTTGTGAGCTAAAAATCATTATATTGTTTGCAATCGAGAAATTGAGAAGGACGCATGTAAAATAAGTGATTAATGCTTCCTGGTCCGTGTGAGGATGAAACCCAGGCCGTTTGCGTGGCAAGCAGGTGGTCTACCAGAAACAAACTTGGTGCTGCTTCGAACACAGTAAGAATACCTTCATCCTCATCATCATCATCATTATGACTGCGTACACTGCACGACACAGGCCTCTCCCATGTTCCACCAGTCAACTCAGTCCTGTGCTTGCTGCTCCCAATTTATACCCATAAACTTCTTAACCTCATCTGCCCACCTAACCTTCTGTCTCCCCCTAACCCGCTTGCCTTCTCTAGGAATCAAGTTTTATACGATTAATGACCAGCGGGTATACAATTTACGTGCTGAATGCCCGGCCCATGTCCAATTTCTCTTCTTCATTTCAATTATAATATGCTTAATCCTAGTTTTTTTCCCTAATCCACTCTGCTCTCTTCTTGTCTCTTAAGGTTACACCTAGCATTTTTATTTCTATCGCTTGATGTGTAGTCCTCAATTTAGGCTGAACCATCTTTGTAAGTCTCCAGGTTTCTGCTTAGTAGCTAAGTACTGGCAAGATGCAGCTGTTATATACCTTCCTCTTGAGGGATAGTGGCAATCTACCTGTCATGATTTGAGAGTGCTTGCCAAATGTGCTCCACCCCATTCTTAATCTTCTAGTTACTTGAATCTCGTGGTTCGGCTCTGCAGTTATTCCCTGCTCTAAGTATATATATATTTGACAGCTTGAAGTGCAGTATCACCTATCTTGAAGCGCTCTTGTCTTCCGAGGTTGTTGTACATAACTGTGGTTTTCTACAGAATAATTTTAAGACCTTCTTTTCTGCTCTCTTTGTCCAACTCCGTAATGATAATTTGCAATTCATCCCCTGAGTTACTCAGCAATGCAATGTTATCGGCGAAGCGAAGGCTACTAAGGTACTCTCCATTAATTCTTATCCCTAACTGTTCTCATTCTTGGCCTCTGAAAACCTCTTGTAAGCACGCGGTAAATAGCATTGAGGAGATTGTATCCCCCTGCCTTACACCCTTCTTGATTGGTATTTTGTTGCTTTCTTTATGCAGCACTATGGTAGCAGTTGATCCCCTGTATATTTATTCCAGGATGCTTATGTATGCTTCGTCGATGCCCTGATTCTGCAGTGTCTGCATGACTGCTGATATTTCTACTGAATCAAACGCCTTTTCCTAATCTATAAAGGCTATGTACAACAGTTGGCTATATTCTGAGCATAGCCCCGCCGCAGTGGTCCAGTGGCTAAGGTACTCGACTGCTGACCAACAGGTTGTGGGATCAAATACCGGCTGCGGTGGCTGCACTTCCGATGGAGTCAGAATTGTTGTAGGCCTATGTGCTCAGATTTGGCTGCACGTTAAAGAACCCGAGGTGGTCGAAATTTCCGGAGCCCTCCACTACGGCGTCTCTCGTATTCATATGGTGGTTTAGGGACGTTAAACCCCACATATCAATCATTATATTCTGAGCATTTCTCCATTTCCTCGTTGATAGTATGAATGCGGTCGATTGTTGAGTAGCCTGTTTAAAATCCAGTTTGTTCCTTTGGTTCACTGAATTCTAATGTTGTCTTAACTGTATTAGCAATTGCATTTGTAAATAGCTTTTATACCATGAAGAGCAAGCTGATCGGCCTGTAATTCAAGTTCTTATCATCTCCTTTCTTATGTATAATCTTATGGATAATCTTGGCATTCTTCCAAGATTCTGGTACGCTTCCCGTCAGGAAACACTTTGTAAACTTCATCTGCTTGGAAACGCAGTGAAAGTACCTTTCATGCTATACAAACACATCTGTCCTGTATAAACGCTTCACAATATAAGTTATTGCGAAATTTTATTTTATGATATAAAAGTACATTGCGATTGGGCGTTGAAATGCGTCAATATCATAGCGGCTTCCTGGTTGAAAGCTGGTAACCCATTACATAACGCACACACGTTACTACGCGTATTCCCACAAGGTGCATAGCAAGCTCGTAAATTATTTCACTAGAGTAACTGCTCGTAGTTCAAACGATGCTACCCAATACACAGAATTATGCCATATGCCAAGGCTAACACAAACCTCTCTTAGCTAAAGGGTGGAAGTAAGCACTAAGAACATGATATTGCTATCTCCTTAAACTGTTAATGGTGAAGCGTAAGGGTCCATCAATTTTTTCTTTGTAGCACCGTGTGTGTGACGCCATAGACGAGAAAATATTACCAATTACTGAATGTATTCATGGTTAGAAAGCGGCAAATAAAACTATATTTGTGTCGCGAGTTCTTTATGTACGTGTTATGGTGTGCTGAAGCTTTTACGTGCAGTTTTATAGAAAGAATAATTTCAAGCAAATATATATCGTACTGAACCACGTTGTTGCAGTGTAGTTCCTAAACCTACCTTCTCTTACCAATGACAGTGAACGTCTGCTTGACAACTGTACTGTTATGTGCGCTGTCAGTGTCACCGACTATGGAGGCAGTAGTTTTCGTATTGTTTATTCGCCTCAAAAAGAATCAATTTTACATATTGCCTCACGTGTTATTTTGATGTGCTCTGGTTTCAAGAGGAAGGACTCCCTGCAACTTTTTGTGCAGATCACAATGCAAGGTTTCAGAAGCTTCCGAATAGTTTGGCATTATTCTACTGAGATTGCGAACCGGACGCGTCCCGCCTAAATTATTAGCTTACGTGGCCACAAGTTATAACTCTGGAGCCTTCTTCGCACATGTACATAGGCAGGCCTACTTTACCCCTCGGGATATTACTCTATGGCCGACGACTGTTCACGAAGCTATCCCTTTAGTTCGAGAATGGCTTCCACGTGATCTCATTTTACTGGAACTGGTTCGCTGAAATAAGGAGGTCCGTCTCGAAAATGCCAACTGCTGCTTTCGCCAAGACTACACGAAGATATGAAGTACGGTCACTCGTTTTAATTGTCAAGTATAGACATGAGTGACGCCGAGCCGCCCTCCTCTAATGACGAAGACCTATAGCGCCCACT